AGGGGAGGGGAGGGGGGCCGTGTGGGTTACACACAGAGTCGTGGCGGGCGGTGGGGCGGTGGGGACGGGGAACTGGGGGGGGAGCATCAGCGCAGATGACAAAGCAACCTAGTGTGTGTGCCAAGTGTGTTCCTTCTGAATCTTTTTTCGGGGCTGTTGCAGCTCCGCGGCTTCGACGTTCGACAGTGCGCACAGCGGGGGTTGGGGGGTTGGCAGTTGATCTTTTTGCGTAGCCGCCAAAATTTTTGCATCGTACGTACATCCGCCCCTCCTCATATCCCCACCACGCTTGATGTTACAAACCTACTTCTCCCTCGACTTCCATTTCTGTCCATTCTATCATTTTGTGTCATTTTCTCAATACAATAGTAACAATAACAATAATAGTAACAATAAGAAGGATATCCCTACCCTACCCCCCTCCATCCGCTCAGGCCCAGCAGCCCCGTATCAGCCGCGGCGAGGGCACCTTCGCCCTCATCCTGGCGCCCACTCGGGAGCTGTCGCTGCAGGTGTTCGACGTGGCAGCTGCCCTCCTGAAGCGCTACCACTGGCTGGTTTCGGGGCTAGTCATCGGAGGGGAGAACCGGCAGCATGAGAAGGCACGACTGCGGAAGGGTGTGGCGGTGCTGGTTGCCAGTCCGGGGAGGCTGCTGGACCACCTGGAGAAGACGGCGTCCTTTAGAACGTGTGAGCGGTGGGGTGTGTGTGTGTATGTGTGTGTTTTTGGGGGGGAAGGAGAGTTAGGGGGGTTTGGGGGTGGGGTGGGAAAAGAGGGGGATATGGGGAAGGTTTGAGGGGGAGGGGGAGGGGGAGGGGGAGGGGGGAACATGCGCCGCTGTTAATACGGACTCTTACCCATCAGCTGCACTGTAACTTGTTTCATATACAACATAATATTAAAAATAATATGTATAGTATTTTTGTAAAAAAATTATCGCAGAAATATTACAATTTTTGCATATTTATATGTTTTTCCTTGCTAATTCGTTCTTGATGTCCGTCCACAAATACACACCACCACTGCGCATTGCCCCTCCGACAACAACCCGCACTATCTCTCCTCCCCCACCCCCCCACATACACATGTACAAACCCACAAACACACACGCAGCTGAGCTCCGCTGGCTGGTTCTGGACGAGGCCGATCGCCTGCTAGATCTCGGGTTCGAGGCCAAGCTCCGACAAATTACGGAGCTGCTCAACCAGCGGTCCGCGGCAGGGGCAGCGGGGAGCCCGACGGGGTGTGTGGCCTCCGGGGCTGCCAACCCTAAGAACAACCCCAGCGGGGGAGCTGGGGGGAACAGGGGGGGGAGGGGCACAGCCGGGGAAGATGGGTGTCGTAGCCAACGGCATCAGGACGACGACGGCGACGACGAGGAGGAGGAGGAGGAGAAAGAGCAGGAGGAGGAGATTGGGATATCGGGAAAGAGTGAGGGCGAGGAGGAGGAACAGAAAGACGACGGAGGCGGTGGCGGAGCCAG